AAACGTCAGCAATTGTGTTCTAATAAATTCTATATTAACAACCTCGTGTCTGCTTATTGATGAAAAACATTGAATCATCGCGAAATACTTGACCAAAATCGAGGTTAATGGGAAGTCGATCGCTGGAATGTCACTTACCTCACAAAGGATGATTTGGTCGATTGATGAATTGTCCTGGGAATGAATTGAACTATACTCATACTCATTACTCATAACCCACTATACTCATTATTCGCCCTTCTATACAAATGTGCAAGACCCAACTTAACTTAAGCAGTATGTAGCGGCGCAGCTGTTCTTCTTCCGGAGTTACGAAATAGCCTTGCTCGAGTGTTTCAAGACCATCATCACAAAAAATTGTTGTGCTCATGGATCTCAATAACAACTGCGGCGTTAACTCCAGAACGACGGTGATCTTGGCAGAAGTTAACTCCTAGCTGAGTTTCTGTATGAAGATTTTGCTTGCTACTGGTGATAAAGTCTTTGCAATAGATCGTAGTTAAAACCAAGAAATTCCTTGGTAGCGGTTAGGCAGTAAACAATTAGATGAACAATACACCACACTAACTGGGTCTGCAGTATTTCTCAATCCTACTTTTTCGCAGAGAGATTTTGTCCACAAACTGTTTCTAGGTTATCGAAGCATCAAACAGTTTCATTTAACAAACACGACTTGACCAATTAATAAAAATTTTTTAAGAGAATAAGAACTACTTGCCATTTTTGTTTCTTTGAGGCACTCGCATGAGCGTGATTCAGGGTTACAGTAGCTGTCCTCTACACACTGTTCCATGCGTGCGCAAGACTCTCCAGGTTTTGCTAAAATATAAATCTTTGTTAGAAGAATAAGATAACCGAGATTCTTACTTTGCCTTCCTCTTGGCCAATTTTCTTATGCTAACGATGCCCGTAAACGCGAATGATTTGAGTAGCAGTACTCCGCGCTGAACTCTATAAAGCTGAAGCCTCAGACGAAATCACAATTTTTGACCTTTTATTTACATCATGTTATTTTCCATCACAGAATATTATGTAAAATACAACCACAATAATGCTGATATATTTCCAAAAGGCAGAAAGGAAGGCAAAGCGAGGTCTTCGGTGATGCAGTGAGTAATACGTGATACCCAGAAACGGTAATCGCTAGTTCGATTCTCAGCTGGTGTCCATCTGATTGCTAATTGTGAGAAGTCAAGTACTTTCCGCTCAATTGTTTTTCACCACTCAACTAACTCCCAATTTCTTTCTTTTTGGTTCTGGGAGAACTCTACTTTGCAAATGAGGTGGAATTTTAAAGCAATTATCGTGAAAATAAATAAAGTGAAAATGTGTTATAGAGTGCAGTCTTTCAAAACTATGCCATTAAAAAATTTTGCTAAATAGAATTAAAAGGTGGTTTAAAATACACTTCTCGCCTTAGCTTTGAACCCTTCGTCCCCATATAATTTTATTTTCACATAATCAGTTCATGCTTCTGAAGTTTCGCTCTTGCGTAAAAGTCTTGATGATAAAATTATGTGCTATTTTGATTGACAGACCTGTTTTGTGTTCAACACATCGATTCTGGAAAGGTATAGTGTTAGGAGGACAAGTACAGACGCCAGCCACGCACACCGAGCCGCCCTGACACACAGCGCCGGGCCGTATACATACGCCACCGATGTCAACTTTAAATAGAAAAAGAGTCTAAGTTTAACTGGTGTTTTAACACTAAACGACAAAGCAACAGAGGCTAAGAGGAGCTTTTCACGCAAACATTCAGTGAACACATCGGCTGATACCATGCAATTAGATTAACCATGCGAAAGTGGTCGTTTTGTCTTAGAAGAGGGCCAATGGCCATTCGTAATCGCCCTTTGTGTCTTTGCACTGAATAGAAATTCTTCGCTTGAACGATCGAGAGGTTGTTCTACCTGACAGAAACCGTTTGCGTCCTCTCCAAGCAGGCATGCACATCTGGAATCACTTCTAAAATATGTAATAGAAAGTGGTATTGTTGTAACGAGTTCTTATTTGGAAGCACACAATCCGCGTAATACCCGCTTCATCAACCGATGTTTCAGCAAGAAAAGTTGATAAGAGTTCGAGACTACTGCTAATCATCTAGAAACTCACTTCTTCATTACGCAGAGCTTTCTGGACCAGCAATCCGAATCGACACTGCATTTTTTGTTCAAACCTCTTGTCTTTAACCGACCTATCTTTGCAATGTCTGTGGTCTTAACGCAATGATCTCCAACAATTATAGCGTTGGCTTAAAATTCGCCTTTTTTTTTCTCACCTCTAAGCTTTCTATAGAAAGTTTCTCACCTGGACATACGCACAATGCACGAAATGTGTCACAGTATGCTCCTCCGGAACACTGGATGTTTGAATAGCATTTTCTCAGTTTACCTCTAGTTGGTTGACATGTGCCTCCAATGTTTATTGTGCTGGCCGGGCAAAGGCAGATACTATTTATACATCTTGATCCACCAGAACATACCTTTAAAATAAAGCTATGTGATAAGAGATGAAATGGCATCGTGGTCACCACATCTGATATATCTTTCAGAATATGGCAATGATAACACACCTGCCCATTTTCGCATGTCGAACCAGGGCTAGCAGAGTGTGGACTTACACAAACACCGTTCCGATTCTCCATATTTGCCAGACATTTGCACATCTTAAATTAGAACACTGTTGGAACGTGAGTATTAGCCAGCCATCCCTCTAAGGTGAAAAAGTTGCTACCAGACTTCTGGCAAGATTGAGAGAGACAGTTGATATTTAGTAGGCTCTTGAGAGGCGTTATACTTCAAAATATGCTATCGTTTCAACTCACGGATCCATCGCAATAGCTGCCACCAGCACATACTTCGCCGTTAATGCAACTTGATCCTGGATCAACGGCATTGGTAGCAAGGCAGTCTCCATTAGTTTCAAACATGCCTTCAGGACATTGGCAAACACCATCTACACATACAGCAAGGCCTGAAGATCATTTCTTCTACGACATTTACTGATTTACTTATACTTGGACACTTGAGTGACTCTGCTTCACTGGTTGTGTGGGCACCAACATAATTTCCACATTTTTTTCAGAGTTTTCCTGGTTTACCCAGTGTGGTTCCCTAGAGTCCCAAGATCAGCGAAGCAGTCTTCCTCAGACCGGCGTTGCCACAGGCAGTCGCAGCCCTTCTGAATCAGAGGGAGATTTGCCACCATGCGATTAGTTTGGTACCAGAACGCTGGTGGATGGTGCAGTGGTTTACTCCTTGCTGGGCTTCTTGATGGAAATTAGACTCCTACCCAGCTTGAAAGGCCCTGCTGGAGTTGAATAGCCTCGCTGTATAGCGCAGTCTGACATCCATTAACACCTCCTAGCCACGCTGAGGCGGTAAACCGTTAGGATGGTTTTTTTTCATTTCATTACCAACGATGATCTTTGACATTCATGAACAAAATGGTATGCATAACACGGTAACTTCTCTTTGTTGCTGCTAGCTACTTTAGGTAGTTCCGTTTAAAAGTACCCAATTTCTTACAGGTGTTCGAAGTGTGGAAACGTAGATAAATCAGCCTTTATAATCAGCCGTCATTGTTAACAAGGCTTGTCGAGCAATTGATTTTTTTTTTGTACTCTTAAGCGTCGAACTGGAGCATTGCATTAAATTTAATGGCTTTTTAAAACTTTAACGAGATCCATAAAGTTGGTTTAGGAGACCTTGTTATACTTCAACCAATTTATTATGCACGGCGCTGACAAGCTCTCATGATTGGAGCCTTTCATTTGCAGAGTCGGTTTTTTGGTATAATAACATTTACGGGAATAAAATACAGTTGGTCCATCTTGTAACTCTCGAAAATCAATGTCTTTTTTAAGACTACGTTCAACAATATATTATTGTACTTCGACGTACTCCTCCATTGTTCATGAAAGGAGAAGAAGTATACAAGCGTACGTTCCGTTAACGGGACATTACAAACCTTACTCAAAGAACTCGATGTTCCTCAACGATGTCAAAAAATCTTAAAAACAAATGTGAGCAAAAAGATCGAATTACAAAAAGTGTTACAATTGTTTTAAAAAATGGATTGTAACAAACTTGCTACTTTTTACCGATTTGTACTGATCCGGTAAAATTACATAAGCAAATTATATAGCGGTATCTACCACACTACCTTTGCAGCGTGCTCTGTGACCGCATGCAGAACCAGCAGTTACCGCTTGAAGAGCAGCACAATCATCCTGAGATGGCAGCATTCCAAATGGACACTCGCATACACCATTGATGCATGTCGCCTTCCCTAGACAACGCTCAAGCCTCGTTGGACATGGCTTTACAGGTGCCACTAAAGTGAATACTTTTTACCTATTTTCCACTTTGAAGTAATAACAAAACTTCAGTAAGCACGACGAACCTGAAAGAGAAACCTGGCAAGAGCCGTTGACACTTTGCTGACCTACAGGGCATTGGCATTTGCCACGGACACAAAACGAACCACCACCGCAATGAATAGATGCACTGCATGCATTATTTGGTGAAACTGGAACTGCGTTAGCGAAACACGGCATTAGTTTCAGGAATATTGTTAAAAATTTGGATAGACATTCGTATCGCATTCCAGACACACTCATTTTCAATATAATCGGTGATGCGTTATTTGTTTAAGAAAACGGTCATGTGCTATCAGCAGACATGCTTGTTACAATTGTTCATCAAGCTCACCTTCAACGATTACTGCTTTCCTAGCTGCTCGCTTCCATTGCAACACAATTTAGCGCTAATAACAATGTGGAACTGTTTTTTAGAAGTTTTGCTTCTACTCTATTTGGTAAGTTCTCAACCAAGAAAAGAGTGGCATGCGGAAAAGTTAGACAAAACAGAGAATCAACATTTTCCAAGCACAAAGTGTTCTTTCTCGTCAAGATTCTCTAAAGCCATACCAGTCATTTGGGGTGCACAATGGCCATTGATGATTTGGCGACCGGCTGGGCAGATGCAGGTGCCGTTCACACACATAGATGCTTTAGTGCATAATTCTCCATTACGGCACGAAGCTAGTGGTGGTGCTTCTACTGGAAATATTCTCCACACGTAATAAGCAAGAGGTTTCCTTACGATGTACTAAAAATACAAGAAAGGCTAACATATCTATGATACATTTGAACGGTGGAATATTTCCCACACCATGATCACCTTGCTTCTTGCTTTGTTTCTCGCTTATTTTTAAAAGTTAAAACTGAACATTGGATAAGTTTTAGATAAAAAGATGCGCGTTTTTTTTTCTAAATAAAATTTTAAATATTGGCTGACAAAGTACTGAATCTGTCCCACTACACTGATCAGACCTACCAAGTACACATGTGCTACCCCTTGGGGTCATTCCCTTCGGGCAAGTGCATTGGTCATTTTGACAAGTGGAGCCGCCTGTGCACTGAGCATTCACGCCACAACTTTGCCCGGGAACAGTTTGGTTCAAACAAATTCCATGCACCTCGACTTGATTGTCTTCACAACCTATATGTGTAAATGTGTGCAATTTAGGCATTTAAGACAAACTGCGCTTTACAAGACGAAATTACCCAAAGTGCAAACACCCTTGTCATTGACCATGTAGCCCGCTGGGCATAATCGTGCACATATCGAACCAGTGAACACCTAAATTTTTTCATATTTGCCTTTACAACAATTCATGATAGGCCGATTAAAATGTTACCAGCCCGTTCGGACAACGACATATGTTGCGTTCACAGATCATGCCATGATGTACCGCATGACACTGAGATGTGTAAAGGCACTGATCGCCAGGTTGAAAGGCTAAAAAATAAGTTCAAGAGGTGTAGAAAATTGGCTAAGTAATGAAATAAGGTGGACGAAATAAAATGAAAGTGAAGCGAAACAAATAAGAAATGATAAAATAAGATGTGAAATAGAACGGATGCTTTTAAATTTGTAGAGAAATCTCTGCTGATTAATGAGTTCTTGGTCTGAAACGAGAATTTTGAAACAAATACATAACCAGAGTTTCATATAAGAGCTCCTCAAAAGTTTCATTAATTCTGCTTTGCTAACTGTGAAAAAGGGGCTGCTTAGAAAAAACCACTGAACAATTTGAATTTGTTATCTACTTCCGCAAAGGCGCGCGTGGCGCAGTGATTGGAGTCGCCATTGCGACACACACTGGAATCGATCCCCGCGCCCATGGCTCACCAAGCTTTCCATCCCTCCGGGATCGTCAAATTGATACCAGGCTTGTCTGGGAAAATAGCAGCACTGGCTTGATACATCGGTAAGCCACCGCGAGTCATTGTAAGGGCCAGATATGCATTCAATCACCTCCAACAATACTCAATGAAGTCGAATGAATGGCGCATCCCTCAGGGATTACTCAACGCCGAGAACCTTGCCCTTTTGTCCTTATGAATTTCCGTGGGTATTAAAGGCCCAAAAAGAATTTGGGCACAGAAACAAAAAATAGTAGGTATTCCATCTTCCATAAAAGAATTCTGTAGGACGGACAGATAGAAGTAAGCGTGCATCGGAAACAAAAAACTTCCTCCCTAACACTGGTAGTAACAATCACGAGTAAAACGATATTCACCATATACCTACTTGGAAGACATTGGCCTGCAACAGCGGAATAGGTTTGACCAGCAGCACATAGTTTTCCACAAGTGCCTTCGACAGCCTCAGGAAGGCTAGAGGGACATGTACATGTTTGCAGAACACATGTCGCTTCGGAAAACGCTTGCGAACACTGAAGATTATGAGAACATCCACGACTTCCAGGAGATAGCACTGAATTATTAAGATTTAGAGACGATGCGTTTTCGCGCTACGTTAACAGACTGCCGAACATAATTGGCAACGACGGTATCTAGCTGCCGTCGAGCACCGCCAGCTACATTTTTATATACCTACTATCATTATTACCATGAGTTATTTATATCACTCGTTTTCGTAAATAGGGTGGATGCTAACACTGATTTCATTCACTTCGTTTTCTTTTATATGCTATTTAGAGAGATATTTAGGTTTGTTTACGGGTTGGGAAACTATCTAATGATTTTGCATTCTGCGAGAGTGTGGGTGAGTGCTGGTAGAGTTGATACTTCTTGGAATAGTGGGTTGGTTCTGCTACGACGATTAAGTAGACGGACTTTGCGGATCGGAGGAAACTCTATCATGAAAAGTCCGGCATTAATACACAACACACAAAGCCTGTTTTTCCAAAGTTTTAAATTTCTCAACATAAAAAAGATACATTGGAAAAGATCATCTTTTCCCAACTGAGGAAGCCACGCTTGTTCAGTTGATTTCTTTTTCGAAATGCGAGTCTTTGAATAAAAAAGTTGAAGGTGTTCGCGATTTCCAGAAAATCGGAATTCCACCTTGACAGGGTAATATAATTTGCTCTTTACATCCAAAGAACTGTAGATTCCAATGGTTTTTACTACAATAAACAAAGGTTGATATCAGCTGGAATATGTTGGTTGAAAACTGAATGAGGTCGATATTTTCGCGTCAAGTGCATTGTATCTAATGTCAGGTGCTATGTGTTAATCGGATAAATAAGGGCTTGCATGGCTTTTAATAGGGTCCTGACAGCAACGATGCTTGTGTTGCACGATACTTCTATCCAGTGCAGTTCCGGAGCCATTTCTTATCGTACAAAGTTAAGACATAATCTTAACTCTTTTATTTACTGCCTTTTTCTTCTTAATGGCAGGGTATGTTGTGAAATATAACTCGTATGAAGTGCTGAGATATCTGCAAAACTCCGGACCACAGGTGTATGCAGTGGAGAACGAACACGCGCTGTTGTCCTTACCGGGGAGCAGCGTGTGTTCGTTCTCCACTGCATACACCTGTGGTCCGGAATTTTGCAGATATCTCAGCACTTCATACGAGTTAAGACGTAATTTTTCAAATGGGTGATCCGGTCATAAAAGGCATTCAGCACAGTGTTTTGCTTCAGATGAACATATGAATGTTACCTTATCACCCCTTACCTTCACGACATTCGCCGATTTCCGGAATGAAAACAAGACCTCTTTCGTGGCATTCCTCACTAACGAATGTGCATCCATTGCTGCTTGGTACCATTCCGTAGGCGCATTCACACCTACAATGCGCCTAAGTTAATTGAAGTGATTATAACTATTAGCATAACCGTCATTATTGTTTGAATCTCTGAAGTTTCAGATTGGTTCCTTGCAATGTTAGTGGAGCAGAACTGCTCACTACCACGATTTTCTGGTTGTAAACGAGTACTTTTAATGTTAAACTATGTTCTAGGTAAGCAGTAGAATTGCGGTCGGTATTACGGAATTTGCTAAATTTCCTCAGTTTCTGTTATTTTTTTTACCAGTTTTCTTGCTCTTTGACTGAAAGCGAAGAAGAACAGATGAAAATCAAATAACGATGACAGAAATCACACCACTTCTTATTACTATTGTTTTATAGTACTGAGACATTGTAAGTTACAATTGTTAGGCGATGTTCCGTAGCAACATTTTCAGTAGTTGGAATTTCAAATGATATATAAAAAAAGATAGAAATACCATAGAAATTTGAACTCACGTGAGTCGTAAACAAAACGCCCCAGGTTCAGCAGCTGCACATTGCTGGGTGTACTGGCATGGTTCTCCGGGAGACTGAGCTAAAATATACTGCCTGGATGGTGTGGCTCGAAAAATTGTGTCCTAGCTCACAAAAGTCAGTTAGCAACTTTTATAATGCCCAGATCACTATTTCAGAGAATACCCTTGATTCTTATGATGGAAAACGTACCTGTCATGCAGATTCCCGCCTCATGGATGTATGTTTGACCAGACGGGCACGTTACCGACGTTTCTAACGCTGAAAAATGCGATACACTTGCCCCAATAATAAAACGCCGACGTTTCATAAGAGTGCTAAATCCTATTCTGACTAAATAGTGTGAGGAAGAGTATAGATAACCCTCGTGTCGTACCACTGGAAATACACGAAGACCCGGCGTTCAGGGCTCCATCAATACATCTGCACACACGGTCGCAATATGCAAACGGATAGCCGGCACAATCGGCGTCCATCGAACACAGTGTTCCTGTTGAATTAATAACGGTTATTCAATACAAATGCATATGTTTATATGTATGTATATTTACAACAAATATCTTGGTAGATTTTTTAACTTATTATTTACTGCCTACTCTTTTTTTAATGGCAGTATATTACGAAATCCAACTCCAATCATGCTGAGATATTTACAAAACTCCGGACCGCAGATGTATGCGGTGGGGAACGAATGCGCTATTGTCCTTTCCGAGGAGCAACGCGTTCACCACCACACCATGCGGCTCATTCGTTCCACCTGCCTCTCAGCTAGTTCTATCGATCTTTGCCACAACAATCACCTGTCAGCGGGATTGATCTGAGAAGCCCAAATCGGCACCGAGCCCAGTTAAGCTGACGCTGTAGTTATAATCAAAATTTTTAAACTTATTCTTTACTACCTACTCTTTTTCTATCAATCCCGCTGACGGAGTGATTGCTGTGGCAAAGATCGATAGAACTAGCTGAGAGACAGGCGAAACGAAAGATTCGCATGATGTGGTGGTGAACGCGTTACTTCCCGGAAAGGATGATAACGCGTTCGTTTCCCACCGCATACACCTGGGGTCCGGAGTTTTGCAAATATCTCAGCAACATCGAAGTTATCTTGATAGAGTTTGTGCAATAAATGTGCATACCAAATAGTGTAACACTTGCCTATGTATAAAAGGCGATAATGAATTAAAGCTTCAACAAGAAATTCTAACCAGGAGGAAAGTCGGTGTTGGCTATTGACCGAGCTGGTGCATATTTTCGAGGACCACGTTCTCCCTGGAGACGTTCATTCGACAGTATGGTGTTTGTTAATGCAGACGCTGGAAAGATCCACAAAATCTCTCTCAGCGATCACAAACTATGCCCACTGAAATTTAAAGCAAATGAAAACCAACCCAATACTAATAGGAAAATCATAGACATGGAAAGCAGAGTGCAATAGCACTAGGCGTTAGAATTCTCCGCCAATTGTAATAATTGTGGGAAGCGCCACATGATGTGCGGTAACTCACACATCCAGGAAGAAAAAAGGGAGACAATCATGAAAACTATGATATCAAAGAGGAAGCAAAAGGAATTCAACTGAAAGAAAAAGTACCGCAACAAGAGATCATTTTTCATTACGGCTTGGATTTTCGAAAATCTTTCATGTAAACAGGGAATTTGGACACAGATCTCACCGACTACACACGTATACTGGTGCACCCTCATGCCATTAGGGCAAGCACATCTTCTTGATTCGTCGCACTGCGCTCCCGGAAACCCTTTATTACACTGACGCGAATCTTCACAACCTGATTGTCCGGGATAAACAGCTGCAAATTTGATCAGTCGAAAACGGTCTCAGATCTTAGAGCAATAAATAAACATATCAGAAAATTTCTGTGATATGTTATCTCGCAACACCTCTTATTTGCATTAGACTAGGAAGTGAAAGTAGCGAAGCTACTAAGTGGTCTGTCGGCGTTATTGGTGGAGGTCAAGAGCTGTTGGCATGGTGGCTTCCCTCAAACGAAGCTGCCAATGATTAAAACAAAACAGTCGGTCCTTGCCTGGTAGGCAATGCGTTCCAAGATCGGTGTGGGTATTGACACACATACAGATCGAAAATGACGAGCAGAATTCGCCTTGCCCACGGCAATCGCCTCCACCTCGACAAGGCCGTCCTAACGTTGTTTCTGAAATGGACGTGTTCTTCCAGCCGTATTCCCTATAGTAAAAAATGTATATGTTAAAATAGTGTGGTAGTATTACATAGTATATATATATATATATATATATACATATATGTATATCATATAGCACTGATAATTTCTTTAAATGTTCTCGAAGTAAGCAAATGGAAGCAGAAGCGATGTTATGTTTGAGATGGATCATGAACAAGCAAAATGTCAAAAGTGTGTACAGAATGGAAAATTTTTCCTAGAAAAGACTGCCAGCATCCTTTGGATTTTTAGGAGATCATTTAGGTTGATACAGCGAAGACAAGCTGATCTATCAGCTATAAACATCGGCAAGCTTTTAATTGACCTCAGATATGCAAGCAAACTACTTCGAATGGAAGTAACTTAGAGGAACGACACTGTGAACAAATATATAGCAAGCAATTGTTGATGGCATTGGTATAGAGAAAACTAGATAAGAGAAAAGCGAAACTAAGGAACCGCGTAGTGTGGTGGTAAACCCGTTGGCCCACAGAAAGGGTAATGGCGCGTTCGTTCCACACTGCAAACACCTGTGGACCGGCGTTTTGAAAATTCCTCAGCATCATTATGGTTGTATTTCACGTAGTACTCTACCGTGAAAAATTATAGTGGGCAGCAAATAAAAGGTTAACATTGTATAACAAGTAGTTATGCAGGAGCGAACACAACAGTCGAAAATACTCTGGTAAGATCTAAAATGGAAACAGGTCTGTAGTTGATAAACTGCTCACATTTGTTCTCTAAACTTTTTAGTCACAGAAATCCTTATGTGATAGCGGAACAAAAATATGAAACTCAAAGTGAGATAGTTTTCCTTCACTCTTTGAGAAAAAACAACGAGACTAATAGACTTCAGACAACTCACCTATAGCTTCGTAGACGCAAGAACCATTCAGTGGATGGTACGAAGCTTTACACTTGCATATCCCTTGAACACAGGTGGAATGGAGAGTTAGACACTGCGACGGTGGATTTGCACCACATTCACTACCAATTTCACTTGAGGAAGCTACTGAGCATGTGGAAAGAGCTAAACAATGTTTATATCCGTATAAAAGACCACTGTCACATGGCTAAATTGGAACAGCTTTCCATCCGGAGGTTATTAGAGTTGGAATATTCGTAGCATTCAGATCAACGGTGTTTATGTGAATAGAGGACTCACCATAAAAAAGTACGACTACAAAACAACGTCCTTGTAGCAGCATCGCGTTGGAAGGGATGATTGATTGACTGGCTACTCTCCTATGAGCTTCTAGGTCAGGCAAACAGCACAGAATGGTTAGCTGCTGTTTGGACACCTAACACAACACTAAACGCGATCGCCACCGTCGAAAGCGATTCCACATGACAATGAAGTTAAGCCGACACACGGATATTCGGCAATCCACATCTCCTGACTTTTTCTTCTAGGGAAGTGTTGCTATCAGACAAGTTACTTTTCGTAAAACTCTAACAAAGGGCGATTGAGAACTAGTAGAAAGTCACTACTCTCCTGATTACCAGACGCGAGGTTCTCGTCACACTACCTATTCACAATGGTTGACTTTACGAGAGGTGTCTTCCTCAGAAACCTGTTATATTTTGCGCTTACTCTTGCTGTTCTCATTTTTTTCGTCTCTGGTACTAATTCAAGCAAGGATGAACGACATAGACGTGACCCTAATCGTTTGATTATCATCTGAGCTCATTGCAATGTGTCTCGCTTTCTGGTATGTCGAAAACTGTAAAAGTTGATATATCGACCGCTAAAGGGTGTAATGTTTATAGAACCCTTCAGCCACATACTATGAATTTACGATTTAGTCTCAAGTTTGATGCCAGGACGGCGGTGGCCTTCGTGAGAGATACACCGCACTCCTTCTAAACTTTGAATGGCCTGCCGGGAGATCAATCTCCCACTGTACACCGCAGCCCGATATCCAGAAACACCTGAAAGCCATGACGAGGTGGTGAACCCTTGGTAAGTTTGACAGACGAAAAATTAACAAGTGATAGAAACGGGATATTTCCACCAACTCTGTGGACAGCATACAGTAGAAATCTGCTCTGTAGTACATCATATAAACACTGTACAAGATTCCTGTAGAAAGTTTTTTACAAAATTTCGTGATCTGAAGTAAATGAGAAAACTTTTAACATGTTGTATAATCTAACGAAGTGGAGTACTTCTATAGATAAACTAAATCTTTCAACGGTCGAAAACGAACAAGGCTCCAAACAAGAAGGAAAAGAAGAAGTAGATATTATTGAACAGTGCAAAGTGGAATACGTCACCAAGTGTGAGAGGTTTGAAAGATCTGTGCGTACAAAGAACTTTTCGATATAATACCTTTCGGTCATGAACAATTCGTGACATATCCGAAACTTCTGGTCATTGGAACCAAATGTAAACACTGTATTCCTCATGGAATCTATGCCAATAGAGTTTTATGTTACTTGGAGCTTTTATTTATGGAATCGTATGGACGTTTCAGTACTGAACACCATTAGATTGTCTATTGCTTCACATTTTGACTAAATTTCTTCAAATTCTTCATGACTAAAATTGCATGTGGTTTTCGTCGACCAGTATCTCAGTCATCGGAATTGGCTTTTACGAAATTCTGAAGGAATAAAATGAACCTTCACCGTAAGCAAAGACGATATAATGTGAAAATGAAGTGACACTGGTTGCTTTACATAAAGTGGAGGTACATAATTTTCATGAGTAGCATAAAATTTTGCCCTTTGCTACTGCAACTGCACCCATGTTCTACATTATTTTTATACACCTAAGGGCAAGTGGCATGAAAGCACACGAACGATGAGGCGATGGATTACAGAAGTATAGATAGGGCAGAAGAAATTGCCGCTCGAACATTTCCAGTATCGGGCTCAGCATTGAACATTGAAATTTTTTGTTGCTGGCGAATTTTCCTGAGAACGTGGAGGGGCAGTTTTTAGAATGGCTGATACAGCGGTGGATTTCAATTAAACCGTTTGTAAGCTTCAAATTAATGAGCGACCTTAACTCGACTGGTTAAACATAGGATTTAGCAGAAAAAAGACAATTTCTGAAAATTCTTGCACGTGGGAGAGGGCTCTGTGAATAAAAATCGGTTCAGAGGTCTTCATTTTAAGAACACTAACTTCAGTTCACACGAAATGACAATGATTGTCATTGTCTGATCAAAGCATAAACCCGATATGTGGAAGGATTCACCGGTGTCACAGCTCTACTGCGTACCATTAAATAATTCGTTCAGGTGAGTGAAAAGTAGAAATTGGACAAGCAC